GCCGACGCCAGGGCGCGGGGTGCCCGGTGGGTACGTGCCTGGCAGCACGGTGGGGAGGGTTGGGGAAGGAGCCCGCCGCATCTCGATGAGCGGCCTGCAGCCGCTCCTGGCCAGGCCCCTGGAGACGCCGGGACTGCAGTTTGCGGGTTTCCCTGGCAGCCCTCTGCCCCCTCTGCGGACAGGAGACCCTCCTGCTGGGCTTTTTAAAATCCCACCACTGCTTAGATTCCTACCAACCGAGTTCTCTTCGCCCCCCTCACATCTATTCACTAACCTTTATGGCTACTCTACCCACTAAGGCACATTATTAGGATGAGTTCCTCACAGTTCGCCCCATTCCCTGCGGTTCTCAGCACCCCCTCCGTGTTTCCAACTAGATGGCAGTTACTCCTGTCTAATTAGGAACCCAGCGGGTGTCAATGGAGGCCTTCAGCCTCTTCTCCCGAGCTCATGGTTCCTATTATTAGAATAATCCTCCCGCGCCCTGCTGTCACAGAGGGAAGCCCCCCTGCTTAGCTGTGTGTTGGGAACTTGGCGTTCCAGGGCTCCCTTCTGGGTACCATTCTGCAGGTTTCCATGCCCGTGGCCTGGACATGTGTGATCACATCATCAGAAAGCACAGAAAGAAAACAGCTCAAGTGTTTTGCTCTCAGGGTTTAAGGCAACCTTGGGCTCAGCCGGAGGAGAGAAGGCTCCTAAATGTTATGGATAGTGGATTGCTGGACCTACGGCCTTCCCAGGCAGCAGGGTTTGTGTGCGTCCTTTGGTGCTCTGTGTCCAGGCCCTGACGTGGCTCCTGGGGCACTTTTCCATGGAAGGCTGGAGGGCTCTGGAAGTGTGCTTTGGGGATTGTCACATCACTCTGCACATTTCCCCAGATAGTGCCAGTTTGATGGGATTTCCTCATGTGCCAGCAGAAGTCACACATCAGCAATGGCAAGGAGAAGGTTTCTGTCTCTGTACGTTGGCTTTCTGGGTCTTTCCCTGAACTGGATGCAAGAGGCACACCAGTTGTAAGTGCCTCCATCTGGGATCCTATTTCAGTTGTTCCTAAGTACCAAGAGCATCAATCGTTCCTTAATAATAGCTGGCTGCAGATCTGGAATTGCTGAGGCAGCTGTTTGCCTCTGAGCCTCCTTGCTCCTATAGCCCTGGTCAGGGAGGTCTGCTGAGGAGTGGGCTTCAGAGCTGCCCTCTGAGCAGCTAGTTACCCCACCAAACCAGCAGGGCCATGCTGGCCCTTCCCTGGAGTTCAGGGTTCTCCTCTCAAAAGTGGCCTCGATTTTGTCTTTTCTCTTGAAATTATTGTGGTTATGTTGGAGCTCAGAATATCTTTGTAAAAATATTTAACAATGAATGACTTTAAAAAAATCCACAACTTCCAGAGCTTACCCACCAACCCTGCTCAGGCTAGACATGACAGTTAGACAGTGCCTCGTGAAGGTAGCCCGCCTCCCTGCAGTCCTGTGCCATCGTGTTCCTGCCCTCACGACTGTGTGCCTGCTGAGGCACAGCCCCCGCCCAGCCCTGTGCAGCTGACTCTTGATACAGCGGAGGACAGACGTGCAGTCCTGTCATCGTAGAACAAACACATCCGTGCTCCGAAGGAAGGGGTGCGTTCCATGAGCTGTTTGACGGAGGGCCATGAGTTGAGGTCTCGGGATGAGATGGCGTGGCACAGACCCTGCTGCAGGGAATGGCATGTGAGAGAAGGCCACCTTCTGTGATGACTCATGGTCACCAAGGACTGTGTCCTGAGAGAGCCATCAGTGGAAGTGGGGTCATTTTTTCCAGGAAGAAGTCACAGTGTGTCTCTTCTACTGTGCATAGAGAAGCCGGGTCCTTGCACCCAGTAGAGAGAACACAACTTGTGGGTACGTCCTCAGACTGTCTGCAGAGTGTAACCTGCCGTGGCCTGCCTCCACTGCTAAGGTCACGGCCCTCCCGTGAGACAGGTCAGACTCAGGCTCCGCTTCCAGCCCTGCAGTCTGGCGGTTCCTCTCCACGTGAAGGCCTGTGGTGGGAGAGGTGAGGTATCTGCCCCAGAGCTGCCAGCAAAGTCAGTGCAGTGCTGGCCCAGCACGTAGGAGGCCCTGGGATGCCCTGTGGGGCAGGCTCGGGTCACTCCTGCCTACCCTGGAACTAGTCGGGGTTCCCTGAGAAACAGCCAGGAGAGTGTGTGTGTGTGTGTGTGTGTGTGTGTGTGTGTGTGCAGATTCACTGAGAAGCCAGTTGAAGGAACTGACTCGTGGAACTGTGGCAGTGTAGGCCAGCGGGCAGGAGACCCAGGTGCTGTGGTTTGAAGGTGACGTGTTTCCACCTAAACTCAGGTTCCACCTCAGTCCCCAGTGAAGCAGTGCTCGGTGGTGTGGCCTGAAGCCACTCAGGATGACTGCCTTGCCTCGCCTCGCACTCCTGTTGCTGGAAGACTGCCCTTGTCTCTGCCTCTCCTTCACGGCCCACCGTGGGTTGGAGCAGCTCGACAGCCCTCAGATGCCCAGGAGGTGTCAGTACCGTGTCCTTGGACTCCCGGCCTCCTGCACTGAGCCGGGGGACCCCTTTCCTTTATAATGTACCCCATCTTGGGTGCTGGGTCACGGCACAGAAAGCCAATGATCCGGGAAGAGCAGAGGACGCAGAGGTCTCTCCTTGTCCGAGGCCTTCAGTTGTGGAGGAGGCCCACACTCGGGGAGGCCACCTGCTTTGCTCAGAGTCCACGGATTTAAATGGAAGGAACGAGAACAAGAAAACAAGCTCTCCACAGTGATTTGTGGACCGTGTTTGACCTGCGTACGGTGGCCTGCCTGAAGCTGACCACGGGAAACTGACCACATCACCCTCTGTTCTGGGGAGAGAAACGGGGGGGCACCTGGCCCTCCCAGACCTGGACACAGCTGGTGTGGCGGGTAGCCAGGGAGGGGCTTGCCTGGTCTGTGGGGACCCTCTTTGCTCTGCCCTGACCTGAGGGGGCCTCCCTCTCCCAGGAGACGCCTGGTGTTGGCAGCCGAGTCGTTTCTTGGCTGCGTCCTGCCCGGCACCTCGTGAGCCTCGTGTCCTGTTTGGTCTGGCCGCGTGACAGCACCAGGGTTTCTGTGGACCTGCTGGGGCCCGCGAGCTGGACACAGCGGCACCAAGCTGGCTGGCTGTCTTTGCTGGGACATGCTCCAAGTCCACTGTGAGAAAGTCCTGGAAGCCCTGTGCACTGGAGGAGAGCAGAGTCCAGGGTCCTTTTTCTGACCGTTCCTGAGGGACTGCTTCCGGTGTTTATGGCATCGTGGCAAAGGGCCTCACTGCCCTGTTGGATTTAGGTTTTGCCTGCAGGCTGCTCCTTGACCCAGGTGCAGAGGCTGGGAAGAGAGTTTTATTTTCAAACCCAGCACGGCCTGGTTCCCTCCGACTCTAAGGAGCTCAAGTGGCTTCCTGGGCAACCCAAAGCAAAACCCAACAGTGTAGACAGCAAAGACGGAGAACCAGGATCAAAGCGCACAGCTGGAGAGTCAGCTGACCACAAGGAGGGTAGCAAGACAGGAAGAAAGGAACAAAGACCACGCAAATAGTGAGAAAACTGAGAAATGGTAGACTGAGTCCTTACCTGTGAACAACTGAGATCAGATGCGTTCAGTTCTCCAACTGAAAGACCTGGAGAGATGGTGACTCTCACCTGTAGACTCAGGAGTCTGAGGCAGGAGGATTGCAAGTTAGAGGCCAGCCTGGGTAACTTAGAGTTTCTATCTCCAAAAGGGCTGGGGATGTGGCTCAGTGGCAAAACAACCCTGGGTTCACTTCCCTGTGGGGGCGTGCAACGGCTGTATATGCTGCCTCGGGGAGACACAGTGAGCCTTTGAAGACAGCCTGAGGTGAGGGGACAGGAGGGGTCTCCGTGCAGTAGAAGCCACAGAGGGGGTGGCTGTAATATCAGAGCAGACTAGAGAGAGGCTGCAAGCCCGCATGCAGCTCTGGTGGTGCGGGGAGCAAAGGGTCAGCTCCTTAGCAGTGCAGCTTCCCTGCGGGTGGCTGGGCAGGCCCCCCTGGGTGGGCTGGGCATGGGGGCCCTGCGCAGGCAGGCTGCGGTGCTAAGGCAGCAGGGACCGGAGGCCATGCCTTGCTGGGGGTCTTTCCTGTGCCCCATTCAAAGCAGAGCCGCGTTGGGACCTGTGTTCTTGAGGCTCGGCTTGCTCCTTCCTGCCATCTTGCCACCCCTCTGCTGTGGTTTGACAGAGTGTGGTGCTCGCGTCCTCTGGGCAGGCCTCTCGTACTCTCAGGACATTCACAGGTCTGTGGAAGTCCCTTTGTAGGAAAGCCTCCTAGCTAGGGCCAGTCTGTGACCCCCAGGGAGAAGGTGGCCATTGGCCAGGTGCAGAGCATCAGGAAGGCTCTTCTGGTGAGGGTGGTCCCAAGGCTGGAGCCACTTCCAACCCTCCCCCCAGCACGGGCCCTCGGGAGCTGGTCAGGACTGGAGACCCAGCTGTGCAGAGTCAGAGCCCCTCTCCTGGTCTTACTGTCTCACAGCTGTCCCAGGCACAGGGCTGAAGTTTTGGCCCTGGAGGGACCTCAGGAGGGACATGCTGCCCGTGACACCTCTCTCCAGGCCCTGCACTTCTCACCTGAGGCTGCGGCTCCACCCTTGCTGTTTGGCATTGATGTCTTAAATGACATATTTGCCAAAGTCGGACCCTTGTTTTGCAAAAGAGCGTCTCTGAGCCTGACTGTTCTCTCCCCCTGTGTAATATTGAAGCTATTGACTCCAAACTTTCATTTTAAGGGGGAAACGTGAAATCAAAATCACTGTTGGCAACTTTCACCTACAAACCATATTTATCCAGATGTCACAGATGTTAAAAAGAGTTTGCAAAACAGGAAATGGTGGCCCAGCTTGCTCCGATTCAGTCTGGGGCAGGACGGGAGACGAATGTGCTTCCACCCTGGAGCCCGCCCAGCAGGAACACGGGGCAGGACACTTCTAGTTCACAGTGACAGATCACCCTCAGTCATGAGCCTCCTCCCTCCTCCCTGGAGAGGGCAGACCACCAGGCCTGGGCGAGGCGCCTCCCGCTTCTCCTCCGCCAGGCCCCAGGCCCCAGCATCCAGGCGGCAAGTGCGCTAGCTTCACCCACATGGAATCAGAGTTCCAGCACCTGAAAACCAGAACTCGCAGCTGCTGAGATTCTACAGAGGAGACACGTGCAAGATCACAGCCACCGTTGGGTGGGGTTCAACTAGAACGTCACGGGTCCTGATCAGTGCCTCTTCTAAGTTGATGGCCACTGGATACAGATTGAAAACGGGGTGGGATGCCCTCTCCCACCTCTTTGATCTGTTTGGTTAGGATTTGAGAGTCCCTCTTTCAGTATTCTCACAAAGGGGCAGCACAATTGTCAAAAAGAACTGGTGCTGACTGTTCAGGTGTGGCAGACCCCAGACAGCTGTCAGCTGGCTGTCATTTGTCATGAGAGCTAACTCTTACTCTTAGAAACCCCAGGATGCAGGAAGCACCTTCCGGCCCCCTTCCTCCTCTTATCCGACCCTAGACTCCTGCCTCTCTCCTTCCTTCCTGGTTTTCACTTCCTTAAAAGACACTGGTATTTTCTGTGTTTAGAATGCATGTCAATGGCATTGTATGGTAACTTTCTGCAAATAAACCTTCAGAAATTAAGGTTCATGTTTTTGAGGTGGACTTGGGTGGACACAGGGAGATCCAGTTTTACCATTTTCAGAGTTTCGCGGTGGTGATGTGTACTCGGTAGTCAAGCAGTCCTCTGTGTTTGTACAAAAGGAATCGGAGGAATCTTGGTAAAACCTGGCTGAGCCCTCGGACCCCAGCCCCACTGTCCTAGATTCGTGTCTCCAAGCCGTGGCTGACTTCCCATGTTGAGACGACAGAGTCCAGCTCCCCACGACCCCAGCCAGCCCCAGCGTGGACCAGGCTTCTTTCCACACTGTCCGCCTTGCTCTTCTCTCAGTTTTCCGTGTGTTCCACATCCCAGAGGAGACTCACGGGCCCTGAGCAGGAGCCAGGGACACAAGCCCTTGCTTGTGTCCTGCCAAGGCCCTCACCTGGTTTGAAATCCATTAGAATTCGGCTGAGCTCCACGGGGCTGGGACTCCTTGCCGTTGCGCAGGCACCCAGCCCTGTCTGCAAACTGCAGGTGCTCCCCACCTCTCTGCAGTGAGCACTGGTCATTTACCAGGGTGAGGAGTGCGTGGGTATCTGAGTAGACGACTGGACTAGCTCCAGGATCCTGAGTCTGATGGCAGGGGATCTGCAGCACGCTCAAGTCAAGCTGACCTAGACGCTGCTCGGGACTGGATCTCGGCTAGGAACCTGACAGGTTACAACGGTACACCTTTCTCCAGGGTCTCGGTGGTTCTGGGGGTGATGTTCATATTCATGCTGCACGTCCAGTTGAACAGATAATTCTGTAATCTGGGCCTCCAGGAACAGCAAGTGCTTCCAGTTTCAAAAACAGTGTCACAGTTTGCGTCCTGATCTCACTTGCAGAGACCCAGAGCACGATCGGCATTCGTCTGACGTGGAGACTCTTGAATGAGTCCGTCTTTCTTTCAGTACTTCAGTCTGACTCAAGGGATTCAGCCATGCCGTAGCAGAAGCAGGTGGGCAGAGTTGTTCTCTTAAGTCTTGCTATAAGTGGAGTCTGGGTGCCCACTCCCCTGCCTGCAAGGGTGTCTTTCCAGTTGGGAAGCCCAGACTCTATCTCAGAACTCTCCAGCTCAAAACATCCCGGATGGATGGAAGTGGCAGATGGCCAAGTCGGTCCAGCAACTTCCATGACCTGGGTGTCCAACTAGACGGGAGTAAATTTAACTTCTCTAGGAGTGCTTCGAATTCCTGCAGATAGCTATGCCCTAGACCACCATCCCCCGGTGAACCCAGGTCAGAGCTCCCGTCCCCAAGGCTGAGACCAGGCTTCTTAACTTCCGGCCTGCAGGAGGGAGCCCTGCTATCTCCCTGGCCAGCAGTCTCAGATGTCCCTGAAGCCACCTGCTGCACATGCCAGAGGAGGAGCAAGGGGCCAGTGTCAGCTCTGTTCCTGTTCTCTTGCTAATGGTGCCTGGGTCTTTTAGGGTCAGGTACTTGATAGTGATCCTTGAGCATTTTCTCATCTGTTGAGTCAGCAGTGACTCTTCCTCCTGGGCCGTGTGTGGTTGTGGGGCTGGGTGGGCCACTGCTGTGAGTGCCGGCAGAGTCCAGGGGCCACCCGTGGTCTCACCCTGCCAGAGGGAGCCTTTGTGATTTGGGGATTTGTGGTTCTTGGTGGGGACGCTGCTTTGTGCTTGTGAAGGTTCACGGGCAGAAGCCACCCTGAATGGGGCTCCTTATCAGCACCCCGTTCAATCCTAAACACTGGGCCAGGGAGGGATTTAGGGTTTTTTTGGTAGTTGTAGACGGACAGATGCCTTTCTTTATTTTTATGCGGTGCTAAGGATGGAGCCTTGCCCCACACATGCTCAGCAAGCGCCCTGCTACTGTAGCGCCAGCCTGAGGGGGTTTTGAGCTCAGAATCGCTCAGGTTTCCAGGGATGGGGATCGTCTCATGCTCACTGCAGCCAGCCAGGAGCCACCAGCTCAGACCCAGAAGCTGCGTGGAGCTGCCTTTGGGCAGGACCCACTCCGGCTCCTCTCTCAGATGTTGTGCTCTGTTGAGTTCCCTCTCTTCTGCTGGTCACAGCTTTCCTGGGAGTCCGGCCGCTGGCTCTGGCCCGGAGTGCATGTCCACCACTGTGTCTGTGCACAGGCCACAGGGCCTGGCTGGGCCCCTGGGTACTTACTAGGATGGGGCTTTTCCCTAAGGGAGCAGACCTGGGAGCTTCCGTTTCCACATTGGAGTCGAGGTGACCACTCGTGACCACTCGTGGTAATTGCCTCAGGTCTCAGCTGTAGGCTGAGGGACCGTGGGACCTGGGTTTGCGATGCCCAGGGGACACAGGACACACAGAGACTCTGGAGTTCTGTGGCTGTGGGCTTACTCGGTCCTCGTCACACCTGGAGAAGGCCAGATGTTCTGGACAAGGGACACTCACGGTGGGTCTCTAGTTGAGGAGCGTCTCACTTTAATGCCTTTGTTCTCAGAGATGCTGGGAGCCGCGTGTTTTCCCAGACACCTGAGTCCTTGGTCTGTTCTCCACACAGGTGAGCCCTCGGCTTGCACTGAAGGAGGACCTGGGGAAGTCCCCGCCTCGGCACCTGCCGGGGAAGTGACACCTGCCCAGTTGAAAAGGAGCGCCAGCCGACCTGCCGCCAGTGCCTCCCCCAGGTGCACACAGGACAGGTGAGATGAAGGTAGGACTCACGGGGGAGGGACATACTTGGCAGCCAGCGGTGGGAGCCATGACGGTTCTCAGGCTGGTGATGGCGTGTGCCTCCGGAGCAGGACCTAGGACTCTCACAGGTTCGTACTAGAGAACAGAAGCAAGAGAAAGAGCCCCTGTCCCAGTCCTCGTCCCTATCGCCAGGTTTTCAATCCGTCATGCATTTCAACTCCCCCATCTTTTATTGGTGCAGTGTGGTGGTAGGCCTGATGGGATCTGTTGTGGCGTGTTCATACGTGCACACAACATAGCAGTCTCACTGGCCAGCATCCCTCATTTTAAAGACAGTCTGTGCCATAAAATACACATTTATGGACATGACAGCAGTGTGTATCTGCTTTAGAAGACACCAAAACTCAGTGATGTAGATGATGGCGCCTGCCTTGACCCCGCATCCAGAGACGCCTGCCTTGGAACCACTTTTGGTGAGATGTACTTCACGCGGTGCCTAAGAACCCTCTTCGTGCCTGTCTGGCTGCCGTCTGAGCTGGGTTTTCTCTCCCTGCTCTTCACTCTCCCCTCCCCTCCTCGATGCCTCTCAGAGCCCACTCTGCTAGGGATGAGCCTTACTGCAGCCCTCCCTGTGAGATGTCCCTCTCTCAGGTGAAGGGCGACACCGTCAGCACTGGTAGGCTGCAGTGAGGAGCGTGGCCTCAGAGAACCACATTCTCCTGGCTGCGGGAGAGTCACCAGGCAGAAGGCTCTCACTGCAAACACCGACCCCATGCACAGCCTGCCACCACGTGTTCCCCGCCCTGAGCGCCTGCAGCAGGCGAGACTGGCAAGTGAGAGGAGCAGGTGCCCCTGACCTTACCTTCCAGCCTGAGCAGGGGGCTGTAAGAGCACCGTCTACACTGAAGCTCTTCTTCAGGGAACTCTCAAGAGTGTACTCCTCCCAGTGAAGTCCCGCCAGACTTGACCCCGTCACCCCAGAAACCCTTCGGAGACACGCTGGAGGCATGCCACAGGGCTCAGGCGCTGCTGCAGCAGGATCACCCGAGTCATTCCCCTCTGCATGGGGGCTGGCAAGGTTAGGACGTGACTCTGTGCCACTCAGGAGACCTGTGCAGGGCAAGGGGAGCATCAGTTACTGATTAGTGCCCAGGCACGGTCAGGAAGATCACTGTCCATGCAGTCTTAAAGTGTCCGTCATAAAAACAACTTGCAGGATGTCAGTCCACTCTGGTGGACTTACTGCTGACCTGTGGTGGTGCCATTTCTGGGCGGCACAGGGAAACCTGCCAGGGTGGGGCTGGGTTTTCTTTCCTGGGTGGATCCTCACTGCTGGCTGTTGGATGTCCCGCAGACCCTCAGGGCAGTGGGTCAGGTCTCAGGTCCTCAGAGTCGGCAGGCTGCCTTACTCAGTGAACACGGGCTCCGTGGGGAGTGCCCGGGCAGCTCTGGAATGTGCAGCCAGTGCACGTTTCAGGGTCCTCCCAACTGTGCGGTGGCCTGAGCAGGTGGGAAGTGGGCGGGAGCGAGGACTCACTTGGGTCTCCCTCAGCACTGCTGGGCAGGCCCCCTCCCACCTGGTCATGTGTGCCAGAGACTCTGCCCCCATTGAATTTGGCCTAAGGAGGCCATGACCTTGAAGAAGGATAATTGCATGAACAGCTGCAGGCAAATCAGTACATTCTGCACTGAGATCCGAGTCCCTGGTGAGTCTCTGAGACTAGGTTTTCTTTACTTCTTGTGTTTTCTTTCTTAATTAACCTTTCAATTTGCTGGCTCTTAACTGGGTAAATTCTGGTGTTGGGGAAGGCATACGGTGGGCGCGGCAAGGTGGTGTTCCTCAAGACTGGGGTGGCAGAGGTGGGCACGGTGTGGAAGATGTCCGCAGCCCATGCCACAGAAGTTCACACGAGCTTCCTGTGTCCCTTATAACCAAAGAATTAATTCCCTGTGACTGAGAGGAAGCTTCTTCATAGCAACTGGCATAATGGAATTTTATATTTAATTTTGAATAAGCTAACATCCACATTAAATGGGCACAGAGGGAAGTAATTTTGTATTTTTAATTCCTATGAATAGTGAAGAAACTTCAAAATATTTTTGTTCAGGCCTGTATAAGGTCCAGAGGACAGTCATGTTCTCCAGGGGAGAATGCTATGTGACTCACGTCTAGTTGAAACTTGTCAATGCAGAAGGAGACTTGTTCCTCATCCCCATCCCTGGACGCCCTCTCAGCCGGAGCCCGTGTGAGAGCCTGCCCCAGGACTGTGACGCATTCCAGGAGTGGTGCTCAGGGACTTTCCTGCAGTTCCACCCTCCACAGGAGCCGCTGGGGTTCCTGTCCTGTGCACAGAAGCCTCCCGGAGGGACGGATTCAGAGCCAGCCTGTGTGTGTGTGTGTGTGTGTGAGTGTGTGTGTGAATGTGTGTGTGTGTGTGTGTGTGTGTGTGAGAGTGTGTGTGTGTGTGTGAGTGTGTGTGTGTCTGTGTGTGTGTGAGTGTGTGTGTGTCTGTGTCTGTGTGTGTGCGCGTGGGGGGGGGGTCCCAGCCTCTAGTCCAGAGAGATTTGATGCTAAGGGTCTTAGCAGGGTTGCTGCTGAGGTCTCAGAACTTATTTTTTTAAACATCACTGTTTTGCAGGCTTGAAATCTTACATTGCCCCTTAAGTTAAATAGGAAACATGGTGAATTTCAAGGATGAAGCACAGCTTAGAATTGCAGGACTAGCCGGCTTCCTGTGCGTGGCCAAGCAGGAAGAGCAGTGTGCAGGTCAGACAGCTCAGGCCACCTTCCCTGGGAGAAGTCTGTGGAGCTCATCACCTCCTCCCAGGGCTCTGCCCATTTACCTGCAGGGAAAATCCCAGCATTGGGTCACCCCTAAAAAAGGAGGACTGTCTAACAGCCTCTGCCTTCTTCGTCCCTTCGTGTGGGGCAGGATGCCGGGTGCCGCTGGCTCTCTGCAAGGCTCTGGGAGACCACGTCAGTCAGGTGCCCCCCACGCTGGGGAAGGGGTAGTGCAGCTCTGGCCCTGGTACAGGGGCAGCAGAGGCCAGCATCTCAGCCCTCAGGACAATCGGCACAGGCCTCAAGTGTCTACAGTGGTGTGTCCAGCACCAGCTTCATGGAGGGTGGAGGCGGGCCCATCGGCCGGGTGGCTGTGCCATGCCTGGGCCACAGTGGGACTGCACACCCTTGCCTGGGCCAGCTCACACTGCCAGCCCTGCTGCGGGACAGGGGAGGTCCAGTGGAGTGAGCACAGTTCAGGAGGCCATTTAGTGACACCGGGTTGGAGGACATGCAAGCAGCTGTGGCGAGCCCAGCGGTCCTGCCTTCCAGACACCTGAGCTCTGCCTTTCTGGGTGAGTGGGAGTAAGAGCCACTTCCATTCCTAGAAAAAAATGACATTCCTTTTCCAAAGTCTGCGGTCTTCTGTATTTGCAGAAGCAGTGTTTAAAAAGCCAGTGAGCACAGCCAGCTCAGATTCTGTGTCAGACACTGATGTTCACATCCACTTCTGAGCGAGGCAGGCAATTGTGTCCTCATTTTGACCTGTGTCACCTTGGATGACTCAGCCGGAGTCCCCCTGGAGCCGCTGGGGGCCGCACATGCTCCTGATCTTCACGGTCTGCAGCTTGACCTCATGCTTATTGCTGTGGCCAGCGATCTTTTCACCCCCTGGACAGAGCACTGCTGGATGGTGGGTGGGAGGCTGTGCTGGGCTGAGTCATGGCCCAAACAACACAGCAGCCTGTCCCTCAGCATCCCCTGTGACCACACAGCAGGACAGGGCTTGAGGTTATTCCTGGACTTCCCCAACACTGCATTTCCCAGGAATTCCACAACAGTGTGTGCAGCGTGCCACAAGGTGATGGGGAAAGCTATCTGGCAGAGGGAGGGGGACGGCATGAATTCCCAGCGGGAAGACCTTCCATTTCTGAGAATAAGGAGAAGGCCTTTCCAGGGACAACTAGCAGGAGGAGCGGGCCTGCAGGTGTGCACCCTTCCCCCACGGTTTACGGGGACTGGCAGCGGCCTTCTGTGTGCTAAGCAAACAGCAGGACCTGCTCAGGAAGGTGGCTGCCAAGTGCTCCCCCATTTGCGAGGTCAGTAGGCATTCTGTAGAACGGAGAGGTGCCAGGCTCGCTGTGCACGCTTTCCTTGTGCACATCCTTGAGGAAGCTACCACCCCACTTGCCTCTCCCCTGGGTCAAGCCGCCCCCGGGCAGGTGGGAGACTCCCCAAGGCTCTTCCAGTTTGGGGGAGACACTGTGTGACACTATCCTACACCCCTCTGCAGGGCCCATGGGCCCTCCCGTGCTGGTCTTTGCTTCCGTCAGCTGTCTGTGCCATTGCTCCTCTGAGGGTTTTCAGAGATGAGATTCCAAGAATGACCAGGTCAGGCTGGGGCTGTGGCTCAGCAGTAGAGCACTTGCCTGGCATGTGTGAGGCACAGGGTTGGATCCTCAACACTGAATAAATAAATAAAGGAATTGTGTCCATCGACAACTAAAAAAACATGAGAAAACAGAAAGAGTTCAAGCAGATGTAGGCACTGGACTCCTGGGGTCCTCAGTGAGGCCGACCTCAGAAAGGTTCCCTGACACTTTCAACAAGTATTTGTTGTCACCGAGTCTGAATAGGTGACTGAAACGGAATGAGAGGCTGTCCACACTGATAAAATGACAGCCGCCGTGCTCTCTCAGGGAAAGACTCCGGACTCTGCATACATTGAGTCAGGATGAAAAGGTGGGATGGTTCCCACTGGGCTGCTTTTGACCTATGGAACCAACAGCTTCACTCAGCTGGACCCACTAGGCCCAAGACCAGGTCTGGTCATGCCGTCCTTGAGCTGGTTCCCCAACAGATGCCTCTTGTTCATTCCTAGGTAATATTCTGCACATCCCATTCCCCAAGTTCCAGCAGTGAGAAGTCACAGGCCTGCAGCCCCACCACCCAAGCTGTCATCGGAAACCTGGGGAGGGACTGCGGTAGAGCCCAGTGACAGAACAGGCTCACTGCACGATGCAAATTCAAATCTCCTTTTTCTCCCGTCAACAGGAACAGAGTGTGAATGATCGGGAGGCACCCGATGACAGACAAGGGCAGCTGAAAGCAAGGTCTCCGATGTGCACAGTGACCTTTCCTGACACCCACCTGGCAGGTGCGGATGTGGACTTGACAGCCTTGAGGCCAGGACACAGACCGCATCCTCCAGCTGACCTTTGGGTGTAACTACAAATGGGAGTCAAAAAGAAGGATCCGGTCTGTACCTACAGTGGAACTAAAACCCAGGTCCTTAAGGTCCCGACCCTTCTGTCTGAGGCAGCAGCGTTGTGATACAGTGCTCCTGTGGGGACACTGGGGGTCAGACACACGTGACAGACCAGTCCCACAGACAAAGCCACATCAGCCAGCGCTGCAGCCCCACGTCTGTCCCATGCGTGGACTAAAGCCTCACAGTCCCGGCCACGCTGCTGGCCGGTTCCTCTCCACCTGAGCAAATCCCCGGCCAGCGCTGAAGCCCCAGCGTTCAAAAGTTCAGCGAGTGCTGGGCACGCCCTCCTTGCAGGGGAGGAGAGGGGAAGGGCAAGAAGGGAGCAGTGTGCACAGGGGGAAAACTGTGGACATAGTGAAATCTGATCGCGTGCCAGAAAAGCGTGTGAAGCTAGTGACCCCTGAACAACGCCTGGCCACGACCAGGCATGTGCGGCCACTGAGCGCGCGGGCGGCGGCAAAGCACAGACCGCCATGGAGAATTCTGTGGCCCCCTGCGTCCTTTACCCAGGGGACCGCGGCGTCAGCGGGACGGAGCCTGGGGCTCCGGGAGAGGGCAGCCTGCAGCCGCCGGCCACGGGCGAGGGCGCGGCGTCCCCCACGCAGACACCCTGCAGTCTCCGCGCGTCCCTGTGCTTCAGCTCCGGGGACGACTCTCCGCCGCAGTCTCGCGCTGCCGCCGCGTAGGGTGCGGCGGCGTTGTCGCCCTCGCACCGCAGCGGCCAGCGCGTGGTGGAGACGCAGTGGGAGGTCAGCAGCGCGGGCGCCGCGTCGCCGGAGGAGCTAGTGTCCCCGGAAGAGCCCGTGTCCCCGGAAGAGCCCTCGTCCCGCCAGGAGCGCGCGCGCCCTGCGGAGTCTCTGTCCCTGGTGGAGTCCCAGGAAGAGCTCGGAGAACCCGCGCCTGTGCCCCCCGGGGTCGGGACCGCGCACGGAGAGCCCGACCTGGTTATCGAGGTGTCCGGCCGGCGGCTGCGGGCGCACAAGACGGTGCTGGCGGCGCGCAGCGACTACTTCCGCGCGCGCGCGTCTCGGGACGTGCTGCGGGTGCAGGGCGTGAGCTTCGCGGCGCTGCAGCTGCTGCTGGCCGACGCGTACAGCGGACGCATGGCGGGCGTGCGGCCCGACAACGTGGCTGAAGTGGTGGCTGGCGCGCGCCGCCTGCAGCTGCCTGGCGCCGCGCAGCGCGCCACCGACGCCGTAGGGCCGCAGCTGAACTTGGCGAACTGCTACGAAGTGCTGAACACCGCCAAGCGGCAGCGGCTCTCGGAGCTGCGCGACGCCGTCTACCGCTTCATGAGCGACCACTACCTGGAAGTGCTGCGCGAGCCCGCTGTGTTCGGGCGCCTGTCGGGCGCCGAGCGCGACTTGCTGCTGCGCCGCCGTCTGCGCGCCGGCCGCGCCCGCCTGCTGGCCGCCGCGCTCGGGCCAGCCGGGGAGCGCTCAGGCAGCCGCCCGCAGAGCCCGTCAGGGGACGCGGACGCGCGCGGCGACGCGGCCGTCTACTGCTACCACGAGGCGGCCGGCGAGTGGCGCGAGCTGACTCGGCTACCCGAGGGCGCGCCGGCGCGCGGCTGCGGCCTGTGCGTGCTCTACAACTACCTCTTCGTGGCCGGCGGCGTGGCGCCCGCAGGCCCTGATGGTCGCGCGCGCCCGTCCGACCAGGTCTTCTGCTACAACCCGGCCACCAACAGCTGGAGCACCGTGCGGCCGCTGCGTCAGGCGCGCTCGCAGCTGCAGCTGCTGGCGCTGGACGGCCACCTGTACGCCGTGGGCGGCGAGTGCCTGCTCAGCGTGGAGCGCTATGACCCGCGTGCCGACCGCTGGACCGCGGTGGCCCCGCTGCCCCGGGGCGCCTTCGCCGTGGCGCATGAGGCCACCACCTGCAATGGCGAGATCTACGTGTCGGGGGGCTCCCTCTTCTACCGCCTGCTCAAGTACGACCCTCGACGCGACGAGTGGCAGGAGTGCCCGTGCAGCAGCAGCCGCGAGCGCTCAGCCGACATGGTGGCCCTGAATGGCTTCATCTACCGCTTCGACCTATGCGGGGCTCGAGGTGAAGCTCAGGCGGCGGCCGTTCCGGGCGGCGGGGTCAGCGTCTTCCGCTACCACTGTCTAGCCAAGCAGTGGAGCCAGTGCGCCGCGCACCTGCGGCCTCCGGGCGCCCCAGCCGGCCCGCAGCCCTTCCGCTGCGCCGCCCTGGACGGCACAATCTACTGCGTGAGCCGAGCGGGCACCTGGCGCTTCGTGCCCTCGCAGGATGGTGAGGCCGGCGGCGACGCAGGCGCCGGCGGCAGCTTCGAGCCAGAGCCACTGGGAGCCCCCCTGGACATCCGGGGCACACTCTTCCCATTTGTGCTCAACCTGCCTGAGAAGCCGGACCGGGGGGAGCAGGGCGCGGCCTAGGGCAGGCCGGGATCACTGGGCATCTCCCTTGGGCAGCTGTGGGACCAAAGGGGTGGCCCCGAGGGCTGCAGTTCCCAGTGGGTAGGGGGCAGAGGAGAGGAGGAAGAGAGCGGTGGGGTGGGTTGCTGCTCACTGCACCATGTATACGCTTTGAGGATAGAAGCTTTGGGGCCCTGAGGCGTTTTTCCGGTGCCTTTCTCAGCGCTTCTCAGTTCTGGATTCTTTTTTGCTTCATTTTGCTTAGTGGGTGGATGGCAGAAGACGTAAGACGTGCGCAAATGGCTTTAAGATGAGATGCAGGATACCTAGGGGAGGAGAGGGGTCAACAGATGGGTCCTCAGGTGCAGCTGCGGCCCTGGGGGTGCAGGAGGGTGAATATAAGGTACAGCCCTCTCGGGGAACTGAGCCCTGAGCACGGAGGAGGCGATTAGAGGTGCTGGGCAGGGTTCCCTCGTGGCCAGGCCAGAGGGAGTCCTAAAGTAGGCCTGCACCAGCTCTTAGTGCAGCTGAAGAGAGAAGTCACCCTTCTGTTTTGTTTTGGGCCTGAGGTTAAAGCCAGAGCTGATAGGTAAAGCTTTCTGTGATTTAGTTAAACAGCTCGTGTCACCATGGCTGCAGTGGTGGTGGGCTCAGCTGTAGAGGGACTTAACCTTTAATTACCAATGGGATTTCTAGGCCCTGGGGCCCTGCAGTGTTTCCTCTGCCAATCACTGGACACATCACTGGGGTCCCCGCAAGCCAGAGCAGTGAGGCCATTGAGTGGAGGGGCCTGGAGTCCTTGGTGGCATGGTGATGATTCACTGTGACTTGACTTTTTGATCTTTGGTGATGAAATGTCACCTGGCAGCACATGGAATCAGGAAAGTTCACTGAGAAGGCACTTGTCTGTTTTGAAAGGACCCTGTGACAGCCAGTCTTCTCATTCCTGCCACCTTCTAGAAGGAGCAAGAGGAACACTTCCTAAAAAAGAGGGTCAGAATCATTTTTGACAGTTCTAAAAATGAATGAAACAGGCACATTTTAAACCCATTACCTAATGTTTTAAATGTGTACCATGTAATTCTGATGAGGGATATTAATTTACCAACATCATTCTAAGAAAACAAGGCAGAGTGACATGTCATAGGAATATAACAAGGGAAGATGTCATGTATTTTTAATGTAGTTCAGCAAGTGACGTTTATCTCATTGTGAATCCCAAAATACCTGAATAGAATGGAAGTGAAACTCACTACTTTGAGAAAGTACAAAGATATAAAAGAAATCAGTTGATTTCCCCTCATTTGTTAGGTCAGTTGACTTTTCAGAAATGCTGGCCAGGACTTCCTGTCCATTAGTAATTCAAGGGTAGAACTCACGCTCATGAACAGGCAAACTGGTTTGGATTGCAAATCCAATTCGTCTTACTGTAATAGGACAAGTGCACAACTTTCTGGAACATACCTAGATGAAACCATGCAGACCTTGACATGACTTCCTTATTAACCAGTGGTGGGATAGTGGGACGTAGGCGGTGCTTTTTAGAGTCTTTGGTCGTGAAAGTCTTGGTTAAGTGTGTTTAGAAATGGTCAGCATGAAACTCATGCATGAAGGGAGTGGGATTCACAGTGGTAGTTGGAGTGTGTTCTGGTGGTGTGCATGCTTGCTTCTGAGTGTGCATGAACCAAGAAGATGTCTTGGAAACTTGGCCAATCATTTTGGGAAAGAAAGAGAGACTTACTGATTTTATTGGCCTTTTATAGGCGTATACTCGAAAATACTTAACAGCAAAAAGGAACAGGTAGTGTTTTTTGAAGAGATGTACATTGTATATGGTAGTACATACTCTCTAGAATGTTATTACTAATGCTAAAAGTTTTAATATGAAAAGGGTCCAGGCTAATACTTTCATCCCTTAAATATCAAATTCATAAAACACCAGCATTGTGATTCTGCTTGACAAGTCACTCCTGGGACGTCCACTCTTGAGCTGGACCTCCGGAGTGACGGCGCTCCAGAGAGAGGGTAGGAGTGCTGGGTGTCGTTTGGCATCCCCCGGTGCCCGGGAAGTGAGCTGTTCTTGTTTGGCTTGGTGGCAGAGTGCCCTTGGGAACTGGTGGCAGGTCCCCGAGGCGGAAGGAACGACTGCTTCCTTAGTAGTAAAGGGATCCTGGCCAACCCCTGTTGACCGTCACGTGAGAACAAAGGCCGGAGGCCCTGACGCCTGGAGAGCACCAGGCTGCTTGCCTTTGTGGGGCCGGGCCCTGTGGTGGGCAGCAAGGCTAGCACCCATCAAAGACGCCCTTTGAGGACATGGCTGAGACTTGCCCTGAGGCCTGAGGAGGGTCCTGTGGCCTTCCGTCAGGTGTCTAAGTCTGCGTCCCACGCAGCTCAGGAAGGTAGTTGGTGTGAACAATCGCTGGTCACTGGGGCGTAGGAAGAGGTTTCTAGGTTTAGGACACCGTGTTCTCCTAAGGTCAGCCTTTGCACACTGGCCTCTCCTGCTGGGAGGACAGTGCCGCTCTCAGGAAGTGTGCACGCGAGGGCTCTGCCCTCTGGGTAGCTGGCAGCATCGACTCTGGGTTGTCCGTCGAGGGCACGTGCTCAGCGCAGCCCTGTCTCCCTTCTGTTTCGTGTTCTGGGGGGAGCACCCCAGCTCTGACTCTTGACAGCTCTCTGGATCTGGGTCATGGTGACTTGATCTTCCAGGCTGTGGTGACTCCTGTGTCTTTTCCTCTTAAGAAAACGCTGTGCGGATTGAGTTGCCCTCAGTTAAATCTCTGACCTGTATTGGTCTTGCTGCAAATACTTAGGCAAGAAATGAGCCATCTGCTCCACTTGGTTAATTCTGGGCCTTCAGGGATTCTGCTGCAGCTGTGTGCTCTCCAGGTCTCTTGGGAAACTTCCTGTTGCTGTTGCTGTTGATGTCCGCAGCTCTGGGCTCTTTGCTGAAGTTGGGACAGTCGGTGCACAGTTGCCGTCACCTCTTGGCAGGGTGCTTGTTTGTGCTTAGTCAATGCCTCCCTGGCTGACGGGGGCTTTCTTTGGCGGTTCCGTGTCACTGTTTTGACCCCCTTCTTCTGCAGTGTCATTATCTGCGAGGAGGCAGGGTCAGGGGCTCCAAGTGGAACCAGAGGTCGGAGCTGTGTCAGGGTTCCTTCCAGCAGCCACCACATTTGTGCTTTCTTCACGTCCACAAAGACGACGGGACTCGGGAGCAGCGGGCCCTACACAGGGCCAGTGTGGCAGGTGCTCTGGGTGGCTCGTGCCTGGATTCGGATTGAGTGAAAGCCCACAGTTGTATTGTGAGTTGAACACCCCAGTGCTTGGCAGAGCCTACGTAGTCCCACTAACCAGTACTTACATGCTGCCCTTTACTAATGACCAGCTAGCTGTACCTGTGTAAGGCAAGTTCAGAGCAGTGCTACTGTGTCTATTATGCGTTTATCAGCGCTTGAGCATCAATGCTGTAAAACCCTTTATGTGTGTGGACCTATGCAGAGGTGAAATAAACTGTGTGGAACGCCAGTGCCCACAGGTCTGTGTGTGCTTGCTTCTCCCCCTCTCGGCAGCAGGACGCCAGGCTGGCGTCCCCCATCTGTGAAGCAAGCTGTCCAGCTCAGGATGCCCGAGGCCGAGTTGCCCCTCACAGGTCCTCACGGTGTCCTGCTCCTTTGACCCCCCTTCCTCTCCTTCCAGAGAGGCCCACTGATCTGAGGACCTGTCCACGGCCTGTTGAGTGGTGGGGTCAGCTGGTTACAGGGGGAAACCAGGTGAGGCTTGGGAGGAAGAAGTTTATCACCTGTGGGGGTCTCACGGAGGGCCACTTCATCCAGGCAGGGTCAAGGGGAGAAACGCCAGATGGTAGGGACAGGGGAGAGGACAAAGCCAGGCTGGGCCCTTACCTGTGCTTCCGTGAGAAACAGCTGGGCAGAGCAGTCAGCTCAGGATTGGCTGATTTCGGTGGGTGAGCCATGGGTGTCTCCGGTGGCCTGGTCCCTGGCTCGGGGGCTTTAGGCAGGGAGCACCTTGGTGGGTGTCTGAGTGTAGGGGCGGAGGTGGGGTGTGTGAGGGGCATGCCCTGGGCAGGCCTGCGCTGGCGGGAGGAACCGGCTGATGCTGAAGGTGGCCGTATCTGCCCAGTGGCGAGCTCTGCAAGATGCCCAGACCTGGAGGGACCAGGGAGTGTCACAGGCTCCCCCGTCCCCTGCCCCCAGGAGCACCCCCTCATCCCACTGGAATCCCAGAGGGCCTGGGGCTGGAGCCAAGGTGCCTCCCTGTCCCTGTGCCTCCCAGCTCTTCAGAACAGACTGAGAAACGGGCTCAGTGGGGAGCGGAGGAGACCAGCTGCATGTGCACCCCCAGCGGAAGCAGCACTGGCCTCTGCAGATGGGCTGCGAAGCCCCATCAGTGGGCCCCGGCGCACTGGGATGCAGAGCTCAGGTGCCTGAGGCGGGCCCAGCTCACAGGCACGTCCTCAGGACAGGCTGCATGTGAGGAAGGGCAGTCCCAATATTTTCCCAGGGAGAAGGAGCAGGGCGAGCGAGCCACAGCCAGGCCAGAACGTGGCACACTCCCGACATTTTGGAACAGTTCCGGGAGTGGCCCTTCGAAGCCTCGCCTGTCCTTGGGAGCAGAAGCTTTTCCTGTGTGTGACAGGAAGTGACCTTGGTGGCCCAGAGCCCTCTGAGCCCAGGTCACCGCACCCTTGGTCCTTAATTCCAGAGCTGGGTGGTAGGTCACGAGGTTATATCTGCGGTCCCTGAAAACGAGGCTCTGCGTTTGCTAGGTCCAGAGCCCTTGGCCCCAGCCTGCGCCACCCACAGATCCCCACAGAAGGGGGGTGCGGCTGCAGCTCAGCTCAGCAGGACGTGGGGACCAGGCTGGCCATGCCCAGGAGGAGAGGCCTCTGTGACAAGGCGCAGCACTGCCTGGTGTCTGGAGATGTGTCGATGCTGATGCACACGCTGGGGTCGGCCACCCAGTGCCTGCACCATGAGGTAAGTGTTCTCCTGGTCCAGTCTTCACCGGGGTCTGAGCGACAGCCATCCTGTCACCCCCAGCTCCCCTCCTCGGCCCCAGCCCTGTCTCCACCTTGTGAACGGAAGTGAGCACTTGCAGACCAGACCTCACTGCTCAGTGGGCCCTGGAGGACCCCAGAGCCACTGCTGGTTGGTGGCAGTCGGTCCAGGCAGTTTCCCTCATGGATCTCTCTTTACTCAGAGGGGACAGGAACATTGCTGAAGGGCGGAGATGTGCTCAGTACCCCAACTGCTGTCTCTGTCTCTCTCCTACATTTTCTTCTGCAAAAATATTCTTCAACTTGAACTTCCCTGAGCCTCAGTGTTTTCCTTGCCAAGTTTTAGGATTTGGATAATCAGAGTGGTTTTCTTTGCAGCCTTTGAAACTAGATCTAATGACAAAAAACATACAGGCTCTTCAGATTGAGGTGATGAATCATCTAACAGAAGTCGGGTGAAGGAGATCCAGCAGAACCGTTCACGTAACTCTAATAGTCTTGCTCAGTGAGAAGAAGGATTTTAAACCTCTTTAGATAAATGAAATAAAAGCTATTTGTGCAAAGAGGTGCACCCTGTGTGTTGTGTTGTGCTGACCAAGGCGCTAATGCGGCCTGTGGGCACTGAGGCTGTGCCAATCGCAATTGTGTGGCCAATACCTTAGAGCTATCACATGGTGACAGTGTCTCCACACACTGCAGTGGCAGAGATCAAGCCATCGACTTGGGGACAGGCTTGGTCTCCAGTTCTCAGGGAGGGCACAGGCTCATGGCCCTTGGAGTGAGAGGGACAGTCCTGGCTGCTAATGTCCTAGATACCCAGTTCCTGATGCTGGGTGGCATTGCAGAGGACACAGCACCCCTTGAAGCAGCTCTGCCAGGCCGGTAGTTTATGAGGCAGAGGTCTTGAAATGAAGCAGAAGTGACAGCCCTGCCAATATCCAGTGAGTGCCACTACCCTGCTTCTGCATGGCACTGGGACACAGTGGGCATGAGACTTGCTTTGCCCAGAGGAGCTCAAGCGGCTGTGACACGTGCCGACAGCTGCTTGCTCAGTGTCAGCAGGCGTCCTGGGGTGCCGACAGGCCACGCCTGCTCCAGCACTGTGTTTGCACGTGGCAAGGCTGCAAGTCCAGAGCAGCCGCACGCCACACTCACCTCCTGTTCTCCTTTCTGGGCTGCACACTCATGTTCAAGGCAATGTCTGGCTGACAACTCCTGTGGCTTTGCTCTTACCATTGACCTCTCCAGTCCACAGTCTGGGGTCAAGGTCACCATATCCACCACTGTGAAAGGAACTGGCTCCCAGATGGGACACCTCCCTTAGGAAGCTTCTGGTGAGTGTCAGAGCCAGGGTAGCACATGGGTGACAGCAACGTGAGGCAGGGAGAAAGTCTGTCTGGGTGGCACAGATGCAGCCGGGAGCCTGCCGGGAAACAGAATGGCGAGTCCTGGGATGTGAGAGCGGAGGCCCAGGGCTGGCTGCGCCCTCCCTCTCCCCCGTGTGACATTGACACTGTCCTTCTGCACTCAGAGCAGACAGTTGAGAACAGGCATGTGGCCTAGGGACACTGCAGGCTGACTTGAGAGGAGCCCACCAAGGAGAGGGAGGACAGAGAAGGTCCCCGCGGCAGGCGGCCACAGGACCGGTAGAGTCAGGGGAGGCTCTGAAGAGGAACTGCAGAAGGAGGGACGGCAGAGGGTCCTCAGCTCTCTGGGAACCAAAGGTTCTTAAAAATAGTGATTTGGAGACAGCAGCAAAAACGAGTGGAAGGTGCAGATTCCCCTGTCCCCCAGCTGAGCCCAGCCTCCAAAGCAGCTCCCCTTAGAGCCGAGTGTTTGTGGAGCTGGTGGGCTTGTGAGACCCCTCCCCCAGGGCCCACAGCCGACGGGGGGGCACGTGGTGCTGGAGACGCCCTGGGTGTGGCCACATGTATGCCGACTCGTGTCCCCTGCAGCACCAAGAGCGCCTCTCTGCCCTGAAGGCCTCTGTGGCCTTGTTCTCCTCCTCCGCACCCTGCTGACCACCGGGCCCACAGTTTCACCTCTTCCAGCATGTCCTGTGTGAGACTCACAGGGCACCCCCTCCCCCAGACACCTCCAGGCTGCCAACAGAGTGGCCGTCTCTTGATGGCATGAGCTGGAATGCTGTTGGGCACGAGCCATGTTTCTGCTGTATTTTGCTCACGCTGCGTAGGTAAGACCCGCTATGCCAGTCCCCTCCACACTCCCAGGCTCCTCTCAAGTCAGGTACAGGACCAGGGCGAGGTTCTGGGACTTCCACTTAGCCACCGTGGAGCACCTCCACATGTCTGGGGGGCCGTGCCCTCCCCCACCCGAAGCACCTGCGTGTGTGGGTGTGCCCACCTGCCAGCATCCGGGAGCCCCCCTCGCACACAGCACCCCCATCGTTACGTGCCTTATTTTAGTCAGCCTGTCCTTCCCCTGGACAGCAGGTCGTTAGCTTCACGTGCCTTTTCCTGCCTCCTCTAAGCCGGAAACCACTCACTCTGGGACCTGCCGATTTAACTTCTTTGATCTTTTCATTAAGTGTTTCCTGTTGATTTGTCGAGCTCCTGGTAGACTTTAGAGAGATCACTTTATTCTGGATATTTTTAGATATATTCTCCCACCTACCAGTGGGCACTTTTGGTAGGGACCTTTTACTGAATAGCAATCCTTAACTTGAGTGAATGTCAAATCTCTAACCTTCCCCAGAAGGCTTCTTATTTGGGGATTAATCTTTAACAGAAGAACAATGAAAATGTTTAATGTTGGTTAACAGAATTGTGTAATATGTAAGCTGTCTAACTCTTAATTTATTGTCAGGATTTCCTATAAAAGGAAATAGTGTATTTTTCTTAAGAAACTCTTTTCTAAACATGTTCTCGTAACACCCGGAGCGGTGGAATCCTACCATACAGCATGTCTCCTTACACTGACATGGACTTAAGAAAACAGAACCAAACAGATACCAGGAGGAGGAGTCGGGTTTGGACGAGCAGAATCCCCGAGATCTAAGGGAGAGTGGACAAGGCGTGCGTTGTGGATTTGACTGAGAAGCAGCAGGGGTGGACCAGGCCGTTCACACAGACACGGTGAGCACCAGGGGCCACAGAAGGTGCCCCAGTCATGGTGAGCACCGAGCCGAGATGGAGGCCCTACAACCCCCCAAGCTGCAAGGTGAGCTCAGTTTTCAAGCTTAGAGCCAAGTTTCTAACTATACCTGGGTGAAGCACGAGCCACCGAGGAAACACTGAAAGACTGGATGGCTTCTGGGTGGTGACTGACTGGCAACGGGTGCATCCTCCGGCAGAGCCAGTGCCAGTGTGATTGCCAGGCCCAGGAGCAGCCTGCCACGAGGTCCCCTCACTGCGCCCCTGCCTCCTTGCCAAGGGGTCCCAACCATCCTCCCCCGCCCTCCCTTCGAGGGCCTGGGTGAGCAGGTGAGTTTCTGAACTTCAGAGAAGACTGAGCAGCTCATTTGGAGGGAGGCTTAGAGACAAAGGGGTTGAA